CTACTTAAGGGGGACTATATGATTGTGGCACTAGACCTACAAAACTAGAGGGTTGGGAGGGTTTAGGGCTTGTGGTTTAGGGTTTGGTACTAAACTTCCAAAAACAGGAAGAACATCAAGCTTCTGGAGAGTGACCTAGGCGCATGTTCAGAGAAGGAGTCAAGACTCCCATACCAGTGCTCAATCGCTGCATGAATGTGGGCTTGGTCATCTTCGTTCTCGCAGGTCAAGCTCTTGACATCAAAGGTGCCAAGTCCAGAGAACAGCTGCTTCTTGTACATGCAAATCCCCCGAAGGGAATGAACCATGGGAAGCAGGAACACTCCAGCTGTCACCAAGACGATGTTCATGCCCAATGTGTTGAAGAGACTAATGCAATGCCTTCGTCTCTTTTTGAATCACTACCGTCAAAACCAAAAGAACCTTCCTACCTTGTCTTGATAAAGGGACCCCTACTCAGAAAAACAGTGAAAAACAAATATATTGGGTCTGAAACGTAGGTCCAAGTGCAGCAAGACAAAAAGCTGACACACAACAATCTCCCTGAAGATCGGAACGATGCTGATGCGTCCTGTTGGGTTCACCTTCCGATATGCAGCCAACTCGAAACAGCACCACAACCTCGTCAGGAGTGGCTCACTCCAAAGCACGCGCAGTTCTGCGGCGGCTTCGAGGAAACCTCCAATGTTCTGAATGCCTTGCCTCATAAGGACAGGATCCGTTTGATGTATACAAGCTGAGTCGATAAATGATACGTCGGAATGGAAGGACGGCAGGTATGGAAAAGCCATCAACCCGCACGCAGCCGAAAAGAAGCCGCCAATCGTGACCCAAAAGCCGGTGTTGTGCGTGCCAGGAAATCCCACCACTCTGAACTCTAAGGGTTGTGACAGCGGTAACACTTCCAGCATGACGAGGGAGACGGCCAGACCTGCATCCTAAACCCTACACAATAAACATCCTAAACCTCAGCCCCTTCATCCCTGCTTGACACAAACGAAACCCTAAACTCCTAAACCCAAAACCACCTGCGCCAATAGCCCACCCGCCGAGCATGTAGCGCCAACCAGAGAAAACGAGCATCGATACAAACTTCCACCTTGTGGCCGCAAACTGTGGGTTTAGGGCTGAGGGTTTAGACAAGCGCCAGAGACAACAAGTCAGGAGCGCGTTTTGAGTTCAGGCGCGCAGCATCCTATGCAGAAGTCATTAGTACCTCAAATTGGGGTACCACGGTACTACGGCATACTTACCAACATCATGGTTCCCGATTCCATGTTCAAATATGATATAGAGTGCCTCAAAAATCCTCAAAATGGAATTCATAACTAGTTCTCAAAATAATCCCTATAAAACACCATGTAACCCCAACTTCCATTACATGTTGCATGTTCTTTTCCATTTGGCTCTGCATCATTAGGCACCTGCAGTACTGTGGTTCCTCAGGGTAGGGATCAGGTATCAGGGTTGGGACGATCCAACATGATTCCCTCTGATATGCTTATAGTCCCCCTTAAGTAGATAGAATATGGGGTATATAGGGATCTTATAAAACTATACCCAAGGCCCAAAGCCATATTCTATCTACTTAAAGGGGACTACAATCATATAACCGCAACCTATCCCCAACCTAAATCTCAACCGCTCAATCTGACGTCGCCCCTCAAACTGATCTCCGAAAACTGAAATCCTAAATGATTGGGGGTTTACGGTTTGGGGGGGGCCCTATAATCAGGAATGTAACTCTAAACCCCCAACCCTAAACCCAAAAATTAGGAATGTACATGATTTTCTGAGATCTACATCGGGATCCCCCGCCTGATTTTTGGAAACTACATTGTTTCAGCAAATTGCCAAACTCCTGAGAACCCCCTGTACCCTACCCTCACATCGATATTCAACATGTCAATGCAATACCATTAAAAGGGAAATTAACTGGGTTGCTGTTAGCGACCTTAATCTAAGTTACTATATTAGGGAAACCATAATAACTACTCTGTATATATATACACACACACATTATGGTAGCTTAATTTAAGTATATATAAGCTCCTTAACAGCAACCCTAAACCCTTGACCCTACATAACCCCAGTACGGTAGTTTCCATGTTCTCTTCCATTATGCCTATATAACCCCATTAAGGTACCCGGTTCTTCAACAGCAACAAGGTAAACTGGGTCTGAACAGTCTGGTCAGGAGATCAGGGGGCGTGGCACGCTGTGTCCATGCGGGCCTCCTTGAACTTGCTCCAAAAATGCTGGAACGGGCTCGCTAATGTAGACTCCTAATTAATAGCCCCCCTCCTTTTAAAGGCCTAAGTTCTAGGATCCTTAGTATAATACCTATTAAGGGGAGGTGCTTTACAATCAGCGGTCTACAGTCTACATTACAATTTTCCTGACACACCCCTAACTGTTGGGCCCCGAGGGCCTCCCAATGCCTGGCACTGGCAAAACTTCAGGGACTCCCATGGCCCTTATGCAAGCCTCCCAGACCCTCCCAGAGCCAGCTCTTAGAGTCTTAGAGCCTCACAAGGTTCCCATGCTCTCAAACCCCTAAGGGTCCATGTACCCAATAATTAAGTACTTAGGATTTGGGTAATAGTAATCATAGTACAGGTTTTGGGTAAGTACATGATTATTGGGTACTTGGACCCTTAGGGAACACTGCGTAGACAAGGAAGCCTTTCAGCGACACCTCCTTGCAAGGCTGGGAGATGCTGTTATTGATCTTGATGAGGACTGTCGGCAGTCCGCAGCCCTATAGTCCCCCTTAAGTAGATAGATAGAATATGGGGTATATGGGGACCTTATCATAATCTACCCAAAGCCACATTCTATCTACTTAAGGGGGACTATAGACCCGAGAAGGAGTAAAGTTGGGCGAATGCCTGCGCAAGCTGGGGCGGGGAGGATAAAGCAACAGACCGATTCTGGTTGCTGGGCTCTGACAGGCGATGCCATCGCACATGCCGACCGACCCCCCCCACCCCCACCCCCACCACATCTCCAGCCATCGTGGGACGTGCAGCAAGATGCGCCTAGCCCCAAACCTTCGCACCAGAAACCTAGTATACCCCAAACCCTACCAGCTGGCTTTGCTGGCTGCTGGTTTGAGGATCGCACGGGCTTTAGTGTTCTAGGATTCAGCTAGAACACCTCAGAGGATCGCGTGGATTGTGGGGTTGGGGCTTTTTGGGCCTTGGGTTTACGGTTTAGGGTGTGGGGGGGGGGGGAGGGGGCTTTGGGCTTTAACAACACACCTTGCCACGTCTCCGGATCACACAGGCACCCAAAGGGTGTGAAGTACACAAGAATCAGCCGGTCCCTTATAGCAGTCGTTACTTCGGTTTTTGGGCTGAACCCTAAACCCTACATATTCGTTACAGTAGCTTCCATTTTCTTTCCATTGTCCCCAAACAACCCCTTTGAAGGGTACCCCTGACCTCACCCATACCCTAAACCTTCAACCCTATGAAATCTAAACCAATGATCCCAGTTTCCACGTGAGAATTGTGTACGTTGGACCCCGAGGGCTCAGAGTTTCCCATCATTGGGGTAATATTAGGGCTATATATATTGGGGGTAGGTTGGGGATAATGGAAAATACAAATGGAAACTACCATTTGGGGTTTAGTAGGGTTTAGCATGTAGGGCTCGAAGTTACAAGGTTTACTTTCTGCTACCTGGATCCCAAAAGTAAGTGAACAGTTGGCCGAAGCCATTAAAACCAGCCAGCAAGATTGTTATTCTACACTGTAAACCTGAACCCCTAAACCCTAAACCCTTAAGGAAAATTGCCTCCCAGGAGTTAACCACGTGTGGGACAAGAACAGATCCAGCTTCTCGACGGGCTCTGATGATCTATAAAGCCTCGGCGAGGTGTCCATTCTGATGGGCGTAGGATTCTCGGTTCAGGGTTTGAGCTGCGGGTTTAGATAAGGGCTTGAAGTTCCGGAAAGGAAGGGACAGCGCACCGCTCGTTTGCAGTGAGCAATGGCTGCTGATGGGTTCGGATCACGAAGTATTAAAGACCTTGATGACCGATCAGTGATTTACTTTGACTGTACTTGACATATGACTCTATGGGCGATTCAAAAGCCATGTGAAGGTAATGAATGTTGCAAGGGACATTGGAGAGATTTTGGGGAGATCTTTGTTTGAATAAAGGTTGGCGTGACGTGTACCGTCCTTTGCGGCTTGCTCAGCAGACCAAAACGCTTCTACGCTGTTTGCAATGACGCTTGGCGGGCTTGAGAAAGCTAGGGTTCTTTCATATTGGCTGTTCCTCGCATTTTCGGGAAGCCCCCAAGAAGGACCACTGACTACAGTAGGTATGTAAGGATGACCCTCATGTCAGGACATAGGGAGTGCCCGGAAAGAGGGACCCAGCCTTCTGATGGCATTCTCATCTAATTTGCGGCTTGGCTTAGTAGTCCTTCTTCTGGGTTGCTGTCAAGGAACTTAACTTAGATTACTAGAATTACTATGGATACCCAGTATGGTAACTTAATTTAAGTTCCTTCACAGCAACCTAGGCTAGGGACTGTGCCCTTCTGCGACGACTTGGGATTTTGGAGGCTTCAAGACTTCAAGACGTACGCCTGAGCCTCCTAAAATCCTTCGCCCGCATACCACCACAAATTTCGATGTAGTTGCCATTATTACATCATTCTGCCTGAGTATGAGTAGTAAGGGGGTGAGCTAGGTGCTTTAGATTAGGGCATTAGGGCGTAGGAGACTACAGTATACAAAAACCGTCTTGCACGCTCAACTTCTACAAGAAACTTAAAGCAATCCTCAAAAGTTGTGCATGCGGCCAGGTCCCTTTTAAGCATATGAGGCCTATAGGAGAAGGCAGCGTACCATAAATCGACTTTGTCGCTTTTCGCCCCCAATGTGATTCCGAGGCAAAAGCACAGAACCTCTGATTTGATGAATATGCCTCGCTCTGCTAGTTGGCCTACAAGGAATCCTTACACCTCAAACTTTACTGGGTTGCTGTTAAGGAACTTAAACTACGTTACAATAATGGGTAAAAGCGGTTTCGGGTGTAGGGTTAGCCTGCACAATCTGACATTACCCCGTAGTCCATTTCAGAAAGGTTTAGGGTTTAGGTATTACTGCTGTATTCTAATCTCTTGATAGGCCACTGGTGGGAATTAATCCCAAACCCTGACCCCTAAACCATAAATCTCATGTTATTGTAGGGCCTGCTTGATCCCTGAATCCCTACGCCTTATGCCTCCAAAACACGCGGTTCGAGGTTGAGGGTTTTGGGGTAGGGTTCTGGATGTAGGGTTTAGTGCTGAGACCCCAAAAACGTCAGTTTACCACCTGGTGGGTCCAAAAATTATTAGGGTTTAGGGTTTAGGGTTCTGGGCCTCCATTATCATACAGCCCCCAAATATTCAGGCTAACACTGGCAAAAGACCGCAATTTGAAGAACACTCCCAAACTGAAAGCCAAAGCAGCTTGGATCGATCGTGCACATCCAACTCGGCTGGTTTGTGCCTCCGCAGTTTAGGTTACCCTAAGGGTCCAAGTACCCGATAATCATATACTTACCCAAAACCCGTACTATAATTACTATTACCCCAATCCTAAGTACCTAATTATTGGGTACATGGACCCATAGGGTTAGGGGTTAAGGTTTAGTTTGCGGTTTAGGATGTGGGGAGCGGGCTTTGGCCTTGGCCGTTTACAGCATTTGGGCTTAGAGCCTAGTTGCTCATGGTATAAACTAAACCCCCAAAGTATGTAGAATAGTAGCCCTAAGCCCATAATAACCATAAGGGCCATTATCTTACATACTTTTGGGGTCCAGGTAGTAGGTCATAAGTTGGGCCTGAGGGAGTTTTGGAGTTTCTTTTTGCATCACCATACTGCGTCGCCACAAAAAAAAAAGAATACTAAGGACCTTGGGGTCAACGTTTACGACAGATACCTTCTTGGAAGCCCCTTAGAGCAAAGTAGAACCGGAACTTTCTGAACTTGCAGCAGCCCAAGCCCTACACCTTAAAACTGGCGTATGAATGAACACACTTAAGGACTTAAGGATATATTACACCAAGTGTCCAAGT